GTTGGTGGTTCCGGAATCGGGACGTGTGGCGGAAGTAGTAGGGCATGCGAGGCGGGAAGCCGACCTCAGGCACCTCATCAGCATCGCCAGCGGCAAAGCAAGCCTCATACTCCGCGCAAGCACCAGCACCCTGCCGGACGGCCCGTGCAGCCCGGTTCGCTAGCGCATGGTGCCATGCATGCACTTCCCACCCTCCCAATCGTTGGCAAAGGCCTGCCATTGCAGCTGGGCCCTAATTCAGGGTGTTATGCACGCCCGCCGCATAAGCCGCCAAAAAGGCGCCAGGGGCGCCCCCCTCGGCTGCTAGCCAATCAAGTGTGCACAGCCATGCCGGCGCCGCTCCACGTGCGACGCGCCCGCGCCGGGCTCAGATAGCAGGCCAGGGAGAGGTCCCCCATAAACGCCCATTTTAAAGTCCACTCATCAAACTTGATCATACGGTTCCATTGCCGCGCGCCTGCGCGCAGCCACGCGCGCGCGAGCGGCGGCAGGCCGCTCTCAGCGCAGAGGATGGTGGCGGGCACGCTGCGTCGCACCCCCCCAAGGTGCCGGACGTAATCGTTTTGCAGGACTTGCAAGGGCGTCGTCCATGCTTCCCAGCAGGTCAGGGCCCCAGCAGACCTCCGCCCCGTAGGTAAGGACAGGCTCAGCAAGGGCACGGAACATGCGAGTGCGGAGTGAGAGATCAGTGATGCCATGCTGCGCACAGCGGGTGTGCATAGCCCAAATAGCTCGCAGCCCCGCCGCCCGCTGCCGGTCAACCGCCGCACGCATGCAGTGAAGCTCAATGCCCAGGTATTTGAACGAGTCGGACACGGGCACTTTCGCGCCGCACATCGCCACACGCGCTGCCCGCGCGGCCGACGCCAGCGCCTAGCACCAAAGAGTTAATATCTAGGTTGCACGCAGGTGCTCGGCACCTCGATACCCCCGTATAACCGACTGTCTATAAAGAAAAGACCACAATACGGACTTCGAGACGTTGACCCGCAGGCCGTGGGCCACACTAAAGCTTTGAAGATGATCAAGGAGGGCTTGCAGGCTTGCGGCGTCCTGAGCCAATAGCACCGTGTCATCAGCGTACACCAGCGCGCGCAGCAGGCCCCAGCCAGGCAGGTCTACCCCAACCGAGGGGGCCCGCTCGGCCAGCCACGCCTCAACTCCAGAGAGAGAGAGAGAGAGAGAGAGAGAGAGAGAGAGAGAGAGAGAGAGAGAGAGAGAGAGAGAGAGAGAG